GCAAATCACACTGCCACGTGTGTTCCTATGCAACAATTTTGCATGTTCTTCACATGTACCCCAAAACCTAAAATGCAATAAAATAAATAAATGGGGAAAAAAACAAAACAAAACAAAACAAACAAACAAAAAAAAGAACATAGTAAATTTGTATTCTATTTCTAATTCAAAAAACCCAGCTCTAAATCAATTTCTGAATTATATATGCGAAATGTATTTCACAAATATAATCAGCCTGACAATCTGTCTACCAGATTCTTCTAGGTATTCTCTCTCAGGAGACTGAAGTTGTGTATCAGCCGTGAGATTCCTGGCTAGCATGCAGGATTTTCTTCCTGCAATCGACACTTAGTGATCCCTTGTTTGAGTTACTGTAACTTCACAAATTACAAAGGAGTTGGTTTACAGCATCTACCATTGATTTGATTTCATTTAATAATGCTGTATTTCTCTGTTTTGCGTCTGTAAATCTATTATCTTGTACTTAACTCGATTCATTAACTGACTGTTTTTCTGGGTTTAAATTTATTTTTCTCTTTTTTTACATACCAATACCTTCCGTTTGCATCCAAAAGCATTCTTAGGTTTTTCTATTAGTATCTTCACAACTGTACATAGTTTTGCCATAATTCTTTGAATTTTTTACAATATTTGAATTGACATTCAACTTTATTATTTCATTTATTTGCATATAACATTCTGCTTTTCTGTTACAGAACTTAACAAAATCACCCAAGCACACAAATAATTAATACATTATTTTAATTGTTGAAAAGAGCTAAATACAACTTTATGTAAAAATCAATAAATCATGTAAAACATTTGTGAATTCCCTACACTGTATTATATGTCTAATACTGCTTTGGGATAATGGGAGTTATAAAAAATGTATAAGACATAATTCACAGATCTATAGCGCCTACTGAGTTATTAGGGAGAAGAAAAGCATACACTTTCAATATGAATAAGAGAAAAGAGCACGGAATTCAATTAATTCTCTGTGTGTGTGTGTGTGTGTGTGTGTGTGTGTGTGTGTAATTGCACTCATAAAACTGATTCAATAAGAGATTATTAAATTTTTTGGAGTATAATATGATGCATTAATCTCAGTTTCAAATATGTGAATGTTCCCACTTTACCAGAAAGAAAACAATTTCAGCTGTTCTGTCATTAGCACATTTGAATACTTGTCTGAGTAGCAAATATGTGATGGTAACCATTTATTTTGTTCTTGCAATTGCATTTAATAGCTGCATCTTGGGCTTATCTCAAGATCTTTGATATTTAAATAAAACATACCTTTAAAAAATGTCTCAGAATATAATTTTTACATTTATAAAAATAATATAATTTTCACATTTTATCAATGTGAAATCAGAGGCATCTACTGAAAGATTGAGAGGACCTGAAGCCTTATGATTCGTTGCAGTCTCAGGAGACAAGAAAGTATGCCAATGATGAAACTATGGACATTGGAGATTCACATCTGCATAATGAACTGCAGCCTGTGTCATCAGTGAAAAGGAACTATACATAAAAAGGACTTACTGTTGGGTAAAAAGGAACTTACCAAATGGTAAGTCCTTTAGCAATCATGAAATCCTGGTTGTCTGCACTAGGTGCTGTGCTTGCTTTAGACTCTGCTTGGTTGTGAGTATGTTTAGGAAATGGTAGGGTAAGTTTCTTTTACACTACTGTTATTTCCTGTTACCTCCTTGCACTAGAATAATCTGTTAATGCCTGTATGATCTTAGCATTGCTGCTGAACAGCCAGAAAACAATTTCTTAAATTGTAGCTTGTTTATTTTTCAATGGTCTTCTCATTTCATAGAAATGGGCGATATTTACGTAATATTCTATAACCAATATTTTCATGTGCGTATATGTTTATGGTATTTAATACTTGATTTATATACTAATTTAGAGTTACCTGTGTAATTATGGGAAACGCTTTGAATTGCAATGCATGCTAACTATATGACAAGGAAAGAACGTCTTATTATACATAATGGTCTTTGGAAATCACTTAGACGTAATTTTCTTTTATGATATCAGTATAACATTGTAAGAATTATTTTGTTTTCCCTGATCTTTTTTACTACATCTCCTGTTTAACAAAACCAGGACATGCACACAGACACTTTATTCCCAGAGCCCAGAACTTGTTTTTTACTATAACAAATGCTTAATTCTTTCCATTACAATTTTAGAGTGCCTGCATAAGATAGTCTTCAAAAAGATCATTTTTGGATGGTGTGTTCTTACAATTTTGTTACTGTTGTTTGTCAAATTTTCATTTCTTTTGCATATTTGACTTTTTGCCATTTTTGTCTTTGGTTTTTATACATAAACCATTCAGTGATTACTGTTTTAAAAGTATAAGTGCATGTATATTCTTAATGTATATCATGAATTTACGTATGTAATATATGTTTCATATAGCATTTAATCAGTTAAATACTTGTTTCTATACAATATTCTATAATAATATGAACAGTACATGAAATATAATATTTACATACATTATTTATAATAAATTTATCTATAAATATTTTGTCATCATAATTATATTTTATGGGCCAACCTCATTGAGAACATACAGTGACTTATTTCAGGTTTGGTTAACAAAATTATAGTACAAAATTTTCTTTTGAAAATCCTTTACTCATTTAATAGATATTTGGTTGGATTCCCTTTTTAATATAATAAAAAATACTTTTAACTTTGTGATTTCTGTCACCAACCTTATCTCCAATTGTCTTATTGATCAATAATGATTGCATATTTTCAAATGTTTCTTTGGAGTCATGAATTAAAAATAAATTACTATGAAATGATCACACATTTTTAAACAAAGACCCAGATTTTGTCATAACACTTATTAGATCATCTCCAAATGTATATCCTTTCAAGTTCAAGATTTTGACATCTTATAATCAAATACCAAATTCCAACCCAATTTGTATATTTCCCAATGTAATATATCTAATTTTTTTTAATTTTTGCCGAACACATTCTCTTATGTCTCCTACATCTTGGAAAATAACATCTTCATTCAAAAAGCACAAACACAATCACAATCACACACACACACACACACATCCTTAGAGTAATATTTTATTTCATGTTTAACTCTCCATTTTTTTGGTTCCTACCTCAAAATTGTTACTGAATGGAGTCACTTCTTATAGTTTTTCCTACTGCCACAAGGCATAGTCATCTCTCTCATGGATAATTGAAATAGCCTCCTAAATAGCTTCCCTGCTTCTGCTCTTGCCTTGCTGAGATTTATTCTCAGAGTGTATAAAAACATAAGTCAAATACGTGGATCCTATTACACGCTTAAATGCTATATTTTAGAGTACATGTGCAAAACAGCTTCCCATCTCACTGAGAAAGCATCCAAACCTCAAACAAGGCAAGGTGTGATAATTACAGCATCTCTTATTCCCCACTGACCACTCTCCATCTTGTTCTCTGCAGTTCAGTCAATTTCCTGAAGTTTCTTATTCCACATGATCCCACCTCAGGATTTTGAACTTGCTGTGCCCTCTTCCTGGAAAAGTCTTTCTGTAGACAGCCACATATTGAGTTAAACCACTTACATCAGGTTTCTGTTCAGATTCCCCTGTGATATTCAAATCCTAATCCTATACCTGTGAATGTTACCTTCTATTACAGAAAATACTTTTCCCAGAGATGAGTCAGTCAATGGTTTTGAGGAAGGGAGATTACTCTGGATTGTCTGGGTAAATACTAAATGTGAGAGGGAGGCAAAGGGAGATTTTCCTACAGAAGAAGAAAGCAGTGCAATGACTGATGAAAAGTGCTATGCTGCTGTCTTTGATAACAGAAGGGACCAAAACAATGCTGTTCACGAAGCTTGAAAAGGCAGTAAAACCAAGTCTCTCCTATTGCCTTCAGAAGAAGTGTGGCCCCACACACAACTTGAGTTTGACTCAGCAAACCAATTTCCGGCTTCTCACTTCCAAACTGTAAGATGATAAATTATTGTTTTAAGCCTCTGATTTGAGAGCAACTTGTTACAGCAGGAATAGAAAACATATACACTATGTAATAGAGTACCTACGATCTCTTTCTATTCACCTTTGCTTATTTATTTTTCTTCATAGTTCTTTACATTTTATACAGTATATCAATACATGTCTATTTTCTTAACTGAATGTGAGCTCCTTGAAAGCATGACATTTGTCTTTTTCACTGTTCCATCTCTAGCAAGTATAATATTTCTTGGCACAGAGTAGAAATACCTATTTATTGAACACATGAATTGATTTGTTGATGTTTCATTATAAATGCTATTGAATAGGCTGGGCATGGTGGCACATGCCTGGTAAATACAGCACTTCGGGAGGCTGAGGTAGACAGATCACGAAGTCAGGAGTTTGAGACCAGCCTGGCCAGCATAGTGAAACCTTATCTCTACTAAAAATACAAAAATTAGCCAGGCATGGTGGCATGTGACTGTAGTACCAGCTACTTGGGAGACTGAGGCAGGAGAATTGCTTGAACCCGAGAGGCAGAGATTTCAGTGAGTCGAGATCACACCACTGCACTCCAACCTGGATGACAGCGTGAGACTTTGTCTCAAAAAAAAATAATAATAAATGTTATTGAATTAGTAACATATTATGTCAAAAACATGTGAAACTAAGTAGCAGTATATGATTCTGCAAACAAGAAACATCCAATAGACATAGTTTTGATGCCTCAAAATACACCTCGACTCTTTACAATGGATGTTCAGGTTTGTTTCAATGGGGGTAAAAAACAAAGATGCAAAAACAAAGTTACACAAAGATGAAAAAGAAAGGGTTGTAAAGTTAAATAACACAGCTCATTTTGATCAGCCTTAATACTAAATAGCAAATAAAAGAAATGATCTGCCTTTTTCTCCCAACTCAATTCTACCGGAGGGCTCAATCAATTGATCCTTCAAGTTGGCAATCTGGGCAGAAGGTGAGGCAAAAAGAGGTTTAAGGTTGAGATTTGGAAAGAAATGGAGTGTGTAGGATGAAACTCATTTTCATGAGCTTAAATGAGTGTAAAATAATAGGGACAGGTTAGTTACAGAAAAAGAAAGATTTGTTGTCAGTGGATGCTCCTGTTTGTAACCCACGTTAGCAGAAGTCTTACGTATATCATAGGATGAATGGGCATTCTACTCATTCTGCTTGAGATTTGGTACCAGTCATATCTGGATTTAAATGTTAAATTCTACCCTTAATAGTTGTGTAATATAAGAGTTTTCCTAACTTTCTCCCACTTTTTATGATGTGAAAACTAAAAACCATGGGATAAAACATTCTCGAGTACCAAAAATTTGAATCATTATATACAGATTGTCTAACACATACATGAGCCACTTCTAAAGTAAATGTCCTTTCTTTATTTAACTATAGGGTAGCCCTAAATGTTCCATGCTGTTCTGGACACCGGATCATGAAGGAATCACTTATTTTCCATCAGAGTAGTAGTTCTGCTACTAAGGAACTATATATACCTGAATAAAAATGAGAGGCTGGAATCATACAGGTGTGAAGGAATTCCTCCTGGTAGGATTAACTGAAAATCCTAATTTGCAGATCCCACTCTTTTTGCTTTTCACTCTTATTTATTTCATCACTTTGGTGGGTAATCTGGGCATAATTATCTTGATCTGGTTAAATGCCTAACTTCATACTCCAATGTACTTCTTCCTTGGCAACCTCTCCTTTTGTGATATCTGCTACTCTACTGTCTTTGCTCCTAAGATGCTAGTCAATTTCCTAACAAAACATAAGTCCAGTACATTTTCTGCCTGTGTTCTACAGAGCTTCTCTTTTGCAGTATATGTAACCACAGAGGGCATTCTCCTCTCCATGATGGCTTATGACCGTTATGTGGCAATAGCTAATCCCTTGTTGTATACAGTCATTATGACCCAAAGGGTTTGTATAGAGATGGTCCTTGCATCTTACTTAGGTGGGCTCATTAATTCCCTGACACACACAATAGGTTTGCTGAAATTAGACTTCTGTGGTCCTAATATTGTGAATAATTATTTCTGTGACGTTCCTCCTCTTCTGAGACTTTCTTGCTCTGATACCCGTATCAATGAAATGCTGCTTTTGATCTTCTCTGGGCTCATTGCAATGTTCACTTTCATTGTCATTATGGTATCTTATGTTCGCATCATCATTGCCATCCAGAGAATCCACTCAGCTGGAGGAAGTTTCAAAGCCTTTTCCACTTGTGCTTCACACCTGGCCACTGTGACCTTATTCTATGGGTCTGTGACTTTCAGTTACATCCAACCCAGTGCTCAGTATTCCCTGGAACAGGAGAAGGTCTCGGCTGTGTTTTACACATTGGTGATCCCCATGCTAAACCCACTTATTTATAGCCTGAGAAACAAGGATGTAAAAGATGCAGCAAAAAGGTCGTTATGGTGGAATAGAAACCCCACTTGACTGAGTCCTGAATGTGGCTTTGTTAACCCAATATTTACTTGCAAATATATGGCCTTTCTTTAAAATTATATCAAACAATTATAAATAAAACTATACTTAAGACACTCTTGTGCAATTTGGATCAGGAATTATGAGTTTGACTTAAAGACTGAAAATCACTTTATTTCACAATTTATTGTGTTGATGATTTAATATTTGCATTATTTCAAAAGATGAGAAAAATTTTTTCTAACAAATATTCATGCTAAACTCTGAAAGAGCTCATGTATTTGAAGAAGGTGGCATTGATTCAAATCAAAGTAATACTCTATCAATAAATGTTTATCAATGTGTCTTGGATAAAAATTTTCAGAGAAAAATTCAAATGTTCCTGTGGCATAACTTTTAGATTATACTATTATGTCTTATCCTAAAATGGTTGTCATACAACTAAAAACTTCTATCTTTCATTTTGTATTTAATTTTCATTTCTTAATAACATCTAATAAAAAATGGCTATAGGAAATGAATTCTTTTCTATAGTCATTTATTATTATTGCAGTTTACCCTAAACTATAGTATTTATAGTTTATTCTTATTATTATTTGTAGTTTACTCATTCAACACATTTCTACTGTGCCAGTCACTTTGTATGTGTGATATAAACCTAGAAACATTTAAACTATAAACAAAAAGCTGTTAGAGGAAAGATGAACGGATAAATCTGGTAAAAGGGAGAGATTATTTAATGATGAGAAAGTATACAAGTTTGGCTCTAGCATGGAATTTTTAAGCAAAAGCAATAGACAATAAGGTTGGCAAATTATATAGAACCAGATGTATGAAAGTCCTTTATAGATAAGATAACATGGTTTAAGACTCAATGGCTAATAAATGAAGCTCTAAATGAAATGTGAATTATATGCTTTAGGAAAGTTTCCATTATTCCATTTTTATCAAAATATTGGAGAGTAAAATAACAAGTTGGGAAAAATATTATGAGGCAGATAAGAAGTGATACAGGTGAGTAACAAAGGGAATGAGACACATTCAAGGGAAAGTTAATGAAATTCATCAAATGGACTTCAGAAATCATTAGACTTGTGGTTTTTGTTTCGACTTTGAGAGAAAAGAGTTCACAATGACACAGGTTTTGAACTTGTGTCACTAATATTTTAAAATTTTTAGGAGATAAAAAATATGAAGTAATAATCTAAGTGTCATTCAAATTTCTAATGGAAGAACTTTCTGGAAAGAGGGTATAGCCAAGAACAAATCCCAAGAAGTACGAACTATCATGGATTGCTTGTAAAACAGCAAAAAGGTCAGAACTGGAATAAACAGAGGAAGGAGAAAAAAGTTAGAATAGTAGAACAGATCATGTTGGATATAGTATGTGTAGGGACTTTGAGTCTGAGCAAAGACAAAGGCAACTGACCCAACTTATGTAGTACAAAGGTCATTCAGGTTATTGTATTAATAAATAAGCTATAGAATGGCAGGCAAGAATGTAAGACACAAGCCGAGGCAGGAGGCTGCACAATAATTTGGCTGAGAGTTGATGACATGCTAGACAAGAGCTGTCACAGTAAAACTTGGGAAAAACACAAATACAGGATATATTTTAGTGCAAGATCTGGCAAAAGAATGAATGAAACAGAAGAGCTAAAGATAACTCTAAAATTTTTTCAACAGACAAGCAGACACAAGAGAATAACAACATCCAAAATGTACAAAATGTATATTCTTTTTCAAGCACGTATATAGTATTTACAAAGTTGAGCATACAATGGGATCAAGAAAAAGTCTCAAAACACATCAGAGGATGGTGTGTACACAATCTACAACTGTGGGCAAGATACTTTAAGTTCCTACACCTAATTTTTCACGTGGAGAAGGAAATAGTCATATCACTACAAAATTTTATAGATAGAAGTATAGGTTGGATGAATAGCTAGACTGAGAGACAGAGGACTTTTATTTTAACTTGTATTTTAAGTTCAGGGCATATGCAGGCTTGTTACATAGGCGAACTTGTGTCATGGTGGTTTGTTGTAAAAATTATTACATCACCCAGGTGTTAAGCCTAGTACATATCAGTTATTTTTCCTGATCTTCTCTCTCTTCCCACCCTCTACCTTCTGATAGGCCCCAGTGTGGGTTGTTCCTCTCTATGTGTCCATGTGTACTCAGACAGATAGAGTTTAACGTGATTTTAGAATATATTAGGAGCTAAAAATCTACAAGGTCAGAAAAATATGAATAGATTCATTATTGCGTCAAGTTCAAGGAAATTACACATTTATATAAAACAAGAATCAAAGGTTGCAAAATGCAATTAAGCAGTACAGCACACTGAGGAGCAGAGCTTGCAAACTACTGTGAGAAGATTGAGGTGTCAGCTTATATATGATTTAACTTTGGGAAAACATAAATACATACTTTACATTAGAAAATAGTATATCATTATGTAAAATCAATATATGTATATATGTATGTATACATTTATTGGGATTGAAGTTGAGAGAAAAGTTGAGAGATCAATGAAATAAATGTAGCTATTACAACTGGCATTTATAGTTAAGCAGTACATGACTGTTTATTCTTGCAAATTTGTATTGCTTTTGAATTGCTTCTGTAGATTTGAAATGTTTCAAAATAAAAAAGTTAGAAAAACACGGGGGAAAAGTGCAAAATGACAAGAACACCTTTACTTCTGGATGAATGAAGTTGCTTCTGGGCAAAATGGCATTTCTGCAAAAATAAAAGCAAGGTGAGAAAGAATAAATAGGTGGCGGGAGGTGAACAAAAAAAAAAAAAGAAAAAAATCAGAAAGAATAAATAACTTTTTTTTTTTTTTTTTTTTTTTGAGACGGAGTTTCGCTCTTGTTGCCCAGGCCAGAGTGCAATGGCGCGATCTCGGCTCACCGCAACCTCCGCCTCCTGAGTTCAGGCAATTCTCCTGCCTCAGCCTCCTCAGTAGCTGGGATTACAGGCATGCACCACCATGCCCAGCTGATTTTTTGTATTTTTAGTAGAGACAGGGTTTCACCATGTTGACCAGGATGGTCTCGATCTCTTGACCTCGTGATCCACCCGCCTCGGCCTCCCAAAGTGCTGGGATTACAGGCTTGAGCCACCGCGCCCAGCTAAATAACTATTAAGGAGAACTAGAGTAGCTGTGGATTCAGAGATGTAAACTTGGAGAAGCAAGACGATTTTTATTGCCCCAATTCAGGGCACACTTGAATATTCAGATTTGGTAGACACTTCGTAGATTCCACCCTAAATGATTGTATTTCCCCTCAGGACATTAGTCAAATTCTGGGCCTGAACAGGTCTGGAGGGTGTTTTCATAGTCAAATGATAGATGAGAAGAAAGTGAGAGCCTGAGAGAGGGGGAAGAAGGGGATAGATAGATGAATAAATGAATGAATGAATGAGAAAGAAAGAGAGAATGATAGAAGACAGACTTAAGTGAAGAACTTCTCAAAAGTGGAGATGTTTTGATGATGTCCCAAACAATACAAATAATAAAGATTGTGAACCATCAAAGGAACTTATTCTGGACACATTCTGTGTGACTGTTCTGCTGGAAAGTGGAAATAGTGGAGTGGAGCTTTAGGCACTTATGGAAACTGAAGAGATAAATATGATTATATAGGAGCTGAAACACAAAGCTGGTTTTCTGCACAAGAATTTAGGGTGAAGAAGTGTAAGAAGCTGGTCCTGGGCTACAAAGGTTGACTGAAATCTCCTGTACTGCCCTCTTGCTGGGCTTAGAAAACAAAGGTCTGTCAGAGGGAAAGGTCAGTAAGAAATGTATTGTAGGTGTCCCCCTCCAAACACTTGCCAGGTTCTGATCCTGTTGTATGTAGGCAAGAGACTCAAAATTTCCTTTGAAAAGCACAAGGACATGCCTGAAAATTCAGACTAATTGAAAAGTCAGAGTGAAATCTTTTTCAGTGTTTGGGGCTTGGTTGATAATGTCCTGTCAGATGTAGAGGCCTGCATCACACATAAGGCCAGCAGCCTTTTCAGGATATTTACTGCCATTTGAAGATGTACAGGAAAGGGAGCTGAGTTCACATCTCCAAAGAGTTAAAATTTAATCTCCTGCAGTGGTTAAAGGGCTATATGTGGTAAGAGAGACAGAGAAAAAGAGACCAGTTTCTTAATTAAAACCTTGGAATGTTCACAGCCCAGAAACAGTGATGAGCAGAAAGAAGAAAATGAGGTCTATCTACAAACCAAGCCAATAATAATTCAGTTAATAATTGAATTAATATAATCAGCACCTCATCCTTTCTGCCTGCAAGAAAAAGGAAAACCCTCCCCTGTGGAAACTGATGCCCCTTTTAGTTTCTATGATCATTTATTCATATGCAAAGAGTCAGAAAGTACAATCAATAGTAAAAATTCACAAAATAAAACAGGTCTGTAGCAAATCTACATGTTGGAGTTAGAAGAATACTTCAAAAATGTGATTAATAGATGAAAAAACAATTTAAAAGTTAGAAAAATCATTTAAGATAAAATATTTTAAGATAAATTTAAATGAATAAAAACAGAAAAAATTGGATTTCTGAACACCCACAAACTCTGAAAATATAATAAGAGTTGATGAGGAAAATTTAAGAACATATCAGACAAAGCAGAAGGCAGGATTGGTAAACTCAAACACATCAATATAAATTGTCTAAACTAAAGCACAGAGAGAGGGAAAAAATAGGAATGCAGATCAGATCATAGGATACTTGTGGAACCCAATAAAATGGTGTAAAAGATAATGCAGTTAAAATTCCAGAAAAAAAGAGGAGAGGAGAGCACAGATAAATATCTTAAGGCATAGTGACTAAAACTTTTCTAAAACTGATGCGTGTTCAACAAACACATTCAAGGTTACAAGATCCCAAGACAAAAAATGCAGAGAGACTCACACACAGGCACCGCATGGTCAAAGGAAGAGCAGTAAGAATTATGACAAACTATTTAAAGAAGCTATAAAAGCAGAGAAAATGGAATGATATAGTTAAAGTATGTTTAAAAAGTAAATATGTAAATTTCTCTACCTAGAAAAATATCTTCAAAAATACACAGAAAATGGAGATGTTATTGACAAAGTCCTTGAGAAATGTGAGATTCTATCAAACCGCAATACAGGAAAT